CCCCAAAACCCCAAAACCCCAAAACCCCAAAACCCCAAAACCCCAAAGAGTTATCATAATGTTGACAAAATAACAGAGAAGTTTATATTAAATTAAATATGATGAGAGCTAATCAAGAAATCCATAAGAAAGTTGCTTGGTATTTTCAGTGGCTCAAAACCAAAAGGAAAAACACAGGTTTGATATCAAAAGGTATGACCCGTTCTTCTTCGCTCTTTTGCGACGACCTGCCTGCTTCTGTTGCTTCGGGTGTTGAGATAATTTATAGAAGAATCCCCGTTTAAGAATGCTAATCTTACTAACCTGAAGTTCCCGATAAAATTTAGTAAATGAATCATATGACAATAGATGACTTCGAAAGTGCAGTTTTTGAGAACAAGACGAAGGAAAATGGCACTAGTTTCAGTAATTATACGAGTAAATATATCCGAAAATTAGGATCTCCTAGGAAGAAAAAGATCATTCTACCCTTAAAGTAAGCCTTCTGGCTGATAATAGCAATATAATTAGGAAATAAGATGAGGTATACTCACCATACTACCAAGGGAGACTCCGAGTCGTTGAGGTAAACCTTCGGATGACTCTATAGAACTGAAAACCTCCTCTCATCAACTCTTGAGAGGCCTAACAAAAACAGCTCCTTGTTTACAAGTGGGAAGAGGATTAATAAATCTGAAAAGAAGTACATGAGCAATACTGCCAAGTTTTGGAACTTAAAGATGTGGAATAAAGGTTAGTGTTCTACTACTCTAACTGAATCATTCTAGCTAACAAACATAATAAGACCTTTACCAAGTACTATAACTCTACAGAGAACAAGCACAGAAGTTCTATTAGTGGTAAGATAAAGCGCAAGAATGCTAAGCCGAGTAAAATCAAGATCTCCTTCTTTGACCTAAAGGGGAAGGATATGAGTGTTACTACCAAGAAATCAAAGAGGAATGATGGGAATTTGAACAAATCTTCCACCCTGTTCCATGCCAGGAACTTCTCCTTAAATACTCCTAATGCTGGTACTACAAAGTTGATGAACTCTACAGAGAAGCATCAGGAAGCTTTTATAGGGTTGAAGAATAAACCTGACATGATGATCACAGGAATTGAGGGCAAAGGTATCCTGTCACATAGCTCAGCGGAGTTCTCCCCTGAAGTTCAAAGATTTGGGATCCTGAGTAAGACGCCTAACCTACAGTCATCTAAGACTACATATGCAAGGAAGAACTTTAGGTAAGCTTTCTCTGAACTTTAGTCATATCGACGTCGATACCAAGAAGGAAAGATTCCCTCAGCTCGATGAGTTCTTACGAATGCAGTACATGTTCTCCCAGTCAAGGAAGAGAGCTGAGGAGGATGGCATGGGTAAACACATTGTTGAGCGTTGTAGATGACTCGCAGAGGCAAGAATTAGCTCAAATATATGATTTAAGGGCTGAACATAAAAAGATCAATATCAACCTCAAGAACAAACTGCGTGAAATCCAACCGATCAAGGTCGAAAAGAGTAACTTTGCCTAATGATTTATAGATGTGTCAGTACAAAGCAGCAGTGTAGATACTCTCCTCACTTTTAGGCCTTCAAAAGAAAGACAATAGTTGATATCCGCTGACAGAGTCGGGAAGCTGCTAGTCAAGCCAGTCGAGGTCTCAGTCGTGAGTCAGAGAGCATCAGGTATATATTCAGATTATTTCGATTCTAGCAAGGATTATTGATCAAATTCTGACCAGGTTTCGCCAAGCTATCCAGAATTTAAGCCGAAGGAGTCCAAGTTCAGAGTGACTGTTAAAATCAAGAAGAATAATGAATAGTCATGGTATTTCAACTGTTAATTCTAATATTGGGGTTTTGGGGTTTTGGGGTTTTGGGGTTTTGGGG